TGTTACCAAATCAGAAGTGGTAGAGCTAGAATACAGCCTGTTGGCAACCATAAACTTATTTTGTGAAACATAATAGTAGAATATTTCTACTTCTTCTGTAACTTGATTAGCAATTACTACCAACAATAACAGAAATTGAAAACAATATTACTTACTGTCACACAATTAAAATTTTGAGTTGTTTATTTCTATGAACTTCCTACTCAATCGTAATTTTAAAGATGTCTTTATGAATGTCTAGGATATCCAAACCAGAATATACATATCTGAAAACTATGTGGATAACCCAAGAATACCTGGCATAAACGAATGACTTAATATTTCCTTGGAGGGTTGTTTAAGTGTATTTCTCACACACACAAAGCAATATGCAACATTAAAAAGCAAGTCAAAAAAACCCAGTACAGAAAAATAGAAAGACCAGTTCATCTTCACAGTTTCTATTTTGCAGAGAATTTCAAAAGCGTGGTTAACTATGACACAGAAACTACATGATATTTGATCTCAGTACAAATTTGTGTAGCAGATACATCATCAAATACATTTGAAAGTTATTCAGCATTTTACACTTGTGAACTCTCAGAAGTTAGAGTTCTAAGGCAGGCTATCACTCTTAGCTCTTGTCATGGGAATAAAGACTTCAAACTGAGAAATTCACAAGCTATAGGAGATCACATCTTATAATCCTATATTAGCAATGGATTCTAAAGCACTCTATTGCTTGACTTCAAGTTTAGCTGCTAAGTTACTCAGTGTGAACACAAAAGGCTATGGATGTGAAAAGGTTTGTTTCTGAATTATTCTACACTGAAACATACAGTAACTTACGCACTTCAGTGAATTCAAAGCATCAAAACATTAATATTGTAGGAAATTAATTTTTAACATACTGGATGAAATAATGAAAATACCTTGCTAAACAGAAGCTCGGACTCTGAGGACAGGTTCTGTAACAAGACTTATTCATACTGACTTTTCATTAGTCAATTAATTTCCCTTGGTACATGCTGACTAATATGGTTGTTAGTTCTTACCAGTAATACAGCTTCAAGTTAAAAATAAAGGATGGCTTAAATAAACGTGTTACACTTTCTCCCAGTGAAAATAATAATCTGCTAAAAAAATGTTTCTTAAGTGATGCAAACCTGGGAAGAACAGAAACAGAATTACAAATATTATTTAGTATTTTGGGGAAAAGGTGTTTTTGGATTTACCACTGATTTTTAGTAATTAAAAGAAGAAAATACAAAAGCAAAATATTTTAAATTCTAATTTAGGGCTTTGGCAAGTACTAACCATGACACTGAAGTCCTTTAAGTCACACTCTGTACCACAGAAAAAATTATTTTTTGAAAATTAAGTACTAACATGCAGATATTATCAGCATTAAGAAAGAGAGTCCTAGCTTGCTTTTATAATACTCCTTAAATTTGGAAAATGTAACAACAAATGAAATCCCTCTTCAGTCTGCCCTCCTTGATCAACGCTAGATTTTAAAAATGGAAGTAATTTTCCTTTTTCAAATGCACCATCTGATTTCAGAAGCACAATACATTTTCAAGAAGCAGCAGAAAGACTTGAAAAATAACCTTCCATCAACTATTTTAATCATACTTGTAAGTATCTCAATATTTATTACCTGACAGACAGTGTAAGATAAGAGTATGTTTAATCAGTAGAAAATATCAATCAAGTAAAACTTGTCACACATCATCTGAATAAAATTCATAATTGGATAAGTTTTTGGTGTCATTTTCTTGAAATCCTCTTCTGGAATAATGTATTCCTACTTTTGTGGTTGAGAAAAGAGAATTTTTTTTTTCTTCATGCACTGTTTCCACTAGAAGTTTCATCAATAAAACACAAAGAATCTGTGCTCTTTAGTGGACTAAAATGTCTTTAAATTATTCTGAAAAAACTCTGGACACAACCAGATTGTTTGTAAATTTGTGTCTTTTAGCAAAATACAGCCTTACAGAAGACTGTGAAGACATTCAGCATCCTATCAAACTAGGTGAATAAGCATCATATTTGGTTAAATGCAATTCAAAGTTATTAAATCCAAGACAATGAATAGCTGGAATAATGAAAGAGCCACATTGGTGGATGCGTACCACAGAGGGAAAAGCATCAAGAACAAAATCACTGTTTAATGTTCAATAGTCATCAGAGACAAAGCAGACATTAGAATGTAGGAAAAGAGAACAATAATAGTATTATTGTATTATGTAACTGTAACAAAGTAAAATATGATTAAAAGAAATGTGACTGTTTAAAAACAGATTAAGGAGGCAGCATGAGAAAAAATACCACACAATCAGAATACAGAAAATACAAAGTAGGGAGCCTCATCTTACTGTCTCATCAGCCAACAACAGACATAATTTCTGAAAAGTAAAGGCAAATTTAAACTTTCTGAAAAAAAAAAAAGAAACCAGATAGATTTAATTTGTGGAACTCCCTGTCACAGTACAGCATGCAAAGTATTTGGCAAAATACATAAAAGGACCCAATCTCAATCTACACACACACACACACACATATATATATATGCATTATTAATATACTACATATTAAAAATATATAACTAGTCTGGGTTGGAAAGACATTGTCACTGTTGAAGATCTGTACTACCAACTGTGAGTTTTACTACTTCTTCACTGGAGTAACTACTACTGTGGGCTGACAAGAGATAAGATATGGTAGGATTCACTACTAAAAATGCAGGTAAAAATGAAACTATCTTTTGGTATATGTTACGTAGACAAAACTTTGATTAAAATGTGATTTTGAACTTACATTTACGTTCATGGAAATTATTCACGTGAAGAATTTACTTGTAGACCACCTAATTAATACTTTTGCCTCTTTGGGAGGCAAAAGATAACACAGAAAATACAGAAACAGTAGTTCAGTAAATAAATGTGGAATTTACTACAGTTTCAGAAGAACATCAGGCATTTTCTATGCTTTCAGTGTACTGACTTTAAGATTCAACAGAGAAAGCATATGCTAGAACTTACTCTGATCAAATTAAATACATATACAGAAATGCACTTGGAAAAAACCCAATCCCTCTCTCTTATTCTCTTGGAAAGAAAAGATATTTCTTTACGTTTTTTTTAATCCAGCAAGAAACCTCAGCAACAGAATGGCGAGTAGCTGGGTTGTGAGAATGTGAGCAGCTGCTGTTATTATAACTAAAGGTCTGTCTACGGCTTGAGCCTGAGCGACCACATGTTCGGCTGTCCTCTCATCTTGCCATCCTCACCAATTAACTATTAACATGGAGGGCTGTACACATGCTCTCAGGGGCTCTTTAACAGGCGTCTTGGAGAGTGGAACAACTACACAGCAGGGCTCTGGGAACTGAGTAATGTGAGGTATAAGGAACCCTCAGCAGCTTTGCTCCTCCTAATGACAGTTTTCTTCCTAGTTTAGTGCCTAAAGAAGGATACATGAAGTTTAGAAATGTCAAAAAAATTTATGCTCTCATGTATTTAATGCTGCTGAGCAAAGATTCTGAAAATAATGTTTCTTCTTCTCTATTCAGAATATTCTAACACTTACTGTAAAACAATTCTGTTAAAATCAAAAAATCAGTTATTTAAAAAATGAGATATAATTTCAATCCTAATTCCATAGGAATTGATTTATATGGAATTTATAAACAAAAAACCAAAATCAACTTCCCAGTTAAGTTTGCAAAAACCAATAAACTTCATCCTTCAGTTTGTTTCTTAGAGATGCTTCTGAACTTCTCTAAAATATATATAACTTTTATTGACATAATATATAAAAAAGTGTACAATGAAAACAATTGTATGTCCCAATTACAGACAGGTAATTCCATTGTGTAAAAAGAAGCTTTACATTCACAAATTCTATTCATTGCATTAAATTTTACTGTCAATCTTTTTGAAAGCAAACTGCCAGCTAATATTTAAAAATAGCTAAGTAAGGAGATGGAGGTTTGCACCGCAAGGGCAACATTCACAAACTTTTGATGCAATAGTAAAACTAGAAAATCAAACTTCTTTACTTTTGAAGCAGTAAGTGCATCAGGTATCTACATAAACATTTGCAGGTATTCAAACAGCTTTACAAGTTGCAATACACAAGTGAGTGTCAGGTACTTACCTAAGATACGATTTAATCTAACAATAAACTCATCTTCTATGAAAACATTTTGCATAATACAAGGTTTTATTCAGTACTTTTTTACCATAATCAAATAAAATTAATATCTAAAATTATAGGTTCTCTGTTCATTGTCAATAATAATTTTGCTTTCGTAAGTTACAACACCACTTGGAGAAAAAAAAGACTATCTACATTTTTCCTTTTGCTAAAAAAGTTTATTTCCAGAAGATACATTTAAATGTCTATACACTCCTGGGAAAGCTGCTGTTAGCAGCTTCTGATTCTGCAGCTGGGAAAATTACTGTGACACCATAACTGGTTTGTCCCTGGTCTCAATACAAGGTGTTATTAGAATTAAAGAGTAAACCTGTATCTTTCAATTTCTGGCTTTAAAACCAAGATCAAACAACATCATAATGAGTATGACAGATGAAGACAGTGGACTGAAATGTCTCGTATTGAAACTCTAAACCATGTTCTGAAGGCAGTGGAAAAGTGTGTAGGGATGGTGTTTAAAAAAACAACCCCCCCAAAAAAAACCAAAAAGAGACTACTAGCTGGATTCTCTTTGCTTTCTTACAGTTTCTGAAATTCTGATAGTTTTTCAAGAAAGCCTAAGACCCACACAAGGCATAACTGGATCTACGAAGGTTTTATGCTTAGGTCATTGTAGATTTTGAAGCACGACTGTCCCACAGAACTACAGAAACACTGCAGTGGAGTCACGTTTTAACTTTGGCCTTTGAAAAAAACAGTTTTCAAAATGTCCAAAATTGCATTTATTTTCTTACCATAAAGTTTAAACTTCTGCTAACTGATGTGTCAACCATGAAATACAGCAAAGACAACAATCCTACCTGGATAAGGTGAGCAGGCACTGTGATGATGCAGGCTGACAGAGATTTTCTGAGAAGGCCTCGGAGAACATAGAGAAATTTTGTAAGGCTATGAATATCTTCGGGAGTATCACTGCTACAAATGTCATCACCCCACAACAGGGAACCCAGACTCTGAATTCCTATCCGCAAAATATTCTTTTGTTTTTTCTATTGGAGAAAAAAAAAGCCACTTGTTATTTTTTCACACATTAAGAGGAAAATGTCTTGTAATATATTTAAAAAATACAATCTCTAGAATTTATATCCATAATAATTTCATAGCTTAAGTAATCATAGCTTAATCTCAGATGATCTTACAAAAATTGAAAACAAACATAAAAATAGCATTTTTTCACTGACTGGATATCATGCTATGTCAGACAAGCAAGTGCAAGTGTAAGAGGCAGCACAGAAATACTGAAAACTACTAATTTGCATTTTGTAGCCAGCTAAACGTAAGTATATTCTGACACAAAATCCAATAACACTATGATTTTTCATGGCCTCTCTCTCCTCCATCACTGCCTTAGAAACATGCAAAAGGTTTTTTCCTCCCAGCTCAACTGCTCTGCTGAAAGGGTCTGTGAGTAATTAAACACAACTTTTCCCTGCATGCAAAAGAGAAAAAGCCCCTTTTCTGAAGAGGCAGATAATGAAGTTAGAGTTGTAATTTGTTTATGCAAAGTAAAATGTCATCTCTTATGATGACAGATCTCACTTCTGCTTATTTGATGTGACCTTTCCTGGTGATCTTTGAGAAGGATTTTAGGTATATTTGCTATCAACAGCTGAGAGAGAGACAATAAACACCTTTGTTGAAAGACTTCCTGTACAAGGTGATCAAAGATACATTTCTAGAGCTCATACTAAAAGGCCAGGTTCTTTTATATGTATATTTAAAAAATATGAGTTTAGATAAATAAAAGCTTCCAGGTACTTTTCATTATACCTAAGTGCTTTGATAAATTGTAGATACTTGTTTCCATCATCCTGAATTGCAGCTGGAATCAGCAGTAACTATCAAGCACAAAACATTGCACAGTTGCTCTGGAAATCCAGGGGAAAGGTTCTGACAAGACAGGAGGCTACTCTTATAAATACTTCCTTCTCCATATTGGGTAGACAGAGCCTCGGTTGTAAAACACAGTTAGTACACATGGCTCTGCATTTATCCAGCTCTCATGGCTTCAACAGTGAGCTGATCTGCCCGTTTGCTTAGAATCTTTGTGAAAGTGATATATGTTTTAACCCTGGTGGATTCTTTAGACTCAGGCTTTGAAGGCTTCTGGACTTACATAAAGTTAACTTTTTACACTACCTTATGAAGATCTGGATAATAGTACAGGATAACAACACAATTTGACTTCTCTGTATGATATTTGCTAGGCTTGGATATTCAGAGATTTAAAAAGAATAGGAAAAGTAAAGTTAGTCTAGTATTCTTTAGTGACTTCTAATCAGAGTGGATTCATGCATTTCTTGATGTGCGTTTATGCAGCAGTATAAATTCAGGCTTTGAATAAATCTATTTTACCCAGATATAACAGATATCGATAATTCAGAGAGAGTGTTCTGGTATTTCAGAATTTCAGTTCAAACATACGAAACGTACAGAAAATTCAGTAACAAGAAAAATATTTTTTCTGATGAAGAATATCAGAAAGAACAACATACAAGCAGAAAAAAACTGTATCAGAATATCAGTTCTCTTATTGGATAAAGGATGACAGATCTGAGTTTCACAATATTAAATCGTAAGATTTGTAAAAGACAAAGCTATTCAAACACCAGACAATATCAGATGTATTTGTTCTGGCCAGTAACAGAATTTCTACTATTCTATGATTCTGTAATTCTGTTAGGCCCACAAGGCCTTGACAAACACCTTATTCCATAACTGAAATATAAGAAAAGCATAAGTTTAATACTCTGAAACTACAAGCCTGCAATACAGAGTAGGATCATTTTTTTCAGATATATCACTTGATCTTTTATATTTTCATTAGTTAGGATTTTTTTTTACCTTTTTCATTTAATTTCTGTATAGCAAAAAGAACTGACAGAAAGAATTCTGATTATGAAGAATTAAAAACACAACTCCAAGCAAACAGAAACCAAATCTCCCTCTAATTTTTTACCCTGTGAGAGACATCCAACTTGAGCTTCAAAGTAATCCAAAAAACTGCTAAGGAAATAAAGTTGCCTATGAAAATTCTGTGGTCAAACATGAAAAAAACCAAAACAATTCTGAAACAATCAAGTGCTATTCTGTATGACTTAAAACCATGCTCAATTTATAAAGGATTCATACTTAATGATCAGCAGCAAAGAGTTACCAGGAGGTTTTAAAAAGGATGTGAAACTGATGCTCATATTTCTAGGTTACAGGTCCTTCAGACCCTGAATATCCAAATGGTTCTTGGCAAAGATCTTTAAGCCAGTGCAAACAAACAGGTTATTGCCTTGGTTAACTTCAACTAAACCTTTTCGTAGCCTAATACCTCAACCAGGAATTACTGTCCTAAAGCCCACAAAGTCATGCAAGTCAGTCAAAAAAATATTAACCTAAGATGGCCAACAGCAAATGTTCCTATAAAACATTAATGTTAACTAATCATACTAGGTCCTAGAGATGCCAGACCATTTTATCACAGTCTACTAGGGCTCCAACAGCAGTTTTCACTAATTTTCCTAATTGTGTCAAACCTCTGTCAGCTGGAGTGAGTTTCATTCTGCTCACTCTTCTCCAGACCTGAAAGCCAATAAAAAGGAGCAGTAAGTCTAAGTATTGCTGGCATATTGATATGAAAGAAGCCAAAAATAACTGAATGTTTTACCAGTCAGGTCAAACCTTTCCTTTGAATCCAGATCCAATAAGCAACACATTTCTAGACTTCCTGAGTCACTTTTCTCCAGACTTAATGAAAGCCACTGCCAACAGAACCTACTCAAAGGGGAGAGAATTATTTGGGTGGGAACAGCATATATGCACAAACTTCTCAGAAGCTTGTATTATTATTATACACAGGAAAAGACACAGGTCCCGAAGAATACAGGCTGGTCCTTACTCTACTATCTTCATAGCCGGCTACTTAAAAAGACTTCTGAGAGCTCAGTAAAGAGAAGGGGATACGGAGTAGCAGAGAGGTGAATTTCTCATAGATCTGGAGCATAAAAAGATCCAAGGTGTGTTCTGGGCCATAATTACATTCAACTCTAGACATATTTTTAAGAAGTGTGTATTATATGCCGCTAATAAATAGAAAGATCATACACAGGGAAAAGAGGAATCTTAAAAGAAAGATACCACTCCAGGAAATCATATACATTATCTCCCTTGAAACAGAAACAACTGTGCAAGTGCTAATGGGTTTCTAGATGGATAAACTGGCTTGAAAAAGGACTTTTTTCAAACTTGTAAAGCTTCACCTCAGAAACATATATGTAATTCAGCAAACATATACTTTTAAATCCGTCTTAAAGTTCTGTGTTTGCTTTATTAACACTAGTAAGACATTTTGAAACAATAAACAACACGTACAGAAAATAACTATCCATAATGTTTAATTTTTCCCTGCTTGCAGCAAAAAAATCCCAAAATATTGGCTCTGACCAACCTTCAGTTTCTTTTACATGTAAAGAAAATTCAGGAATATACAAAGGTGCCATTTTCCCATCAGACCTAACTTAGAAGAAAAATAAGAAACACCAGCCTAATCTCTTCAGTTGGAGGCTGTTTGCTGACTGAAGGTTGGCAGGGTGCTTGTATCACTTGGTGCTGCTCTTTGCAGCGGGTAAGTTCTCGGGCTTCCACAGGACCTGTCAGCGTGCGGGAGGAGCATCCCTGTGCACAGTGCGGTACGGTAGGATGACATGCTTGTTGCCATGGCTACTGCAGCGAGTGGGGAGAGATGCCTGTCAGGGACCAATTTACTTCTCTGGACTCTCACTGCCACCAAAGGGAAGGCAAGCTCACCCATAAATCTCAGCAGAGACTAAACACCGAGCTCAAATAAGCTAAATTTATGCACAAGTGTTCTGTGCAGGTAACATTTCTCAACAAAGTTAGACATGAAAACATCCATTCCAATATTAACTTCCAGTCTTGTATTATTATTATTATTATTATTACTGAATAGGATAAAGAATAATAGGGTGCTGCTCAAATTAGAAAAGGGCTTTCAGTCTATGTTGTTACACTTAAAATGTTTTTGATTACCCACAGTACGATTTATGATCCTTAGCATTCTTAATTCTTTACTTGTGTTTCGATGCTCACTACATAAAGATGCGCACCATTTAATTAATTAAGAAATTCACTCCGCTCCAGTAAAAACAACATTGAAAAAATCTAAAAGTTTGAAGATTAAATGTTCAGTCTCAAGAGTATTGAACACATTGCTAAAGCACTAGTTTGAAAAAAAAACACTGTAGGGGAAAAGGTGTTTTGCTTAATTACATTGTATTTGGCAATCCATTTATTAGGTAATTGCACAGAATCTGCATTTTACTAATGTTGGTTTACAGTTCTTTCTCACATGGTCTCTGCATATCTGTAACAGGTAAAAACTCTAAATGCACATTAAAATATGAACCACACTCTCTATTTACTTTGCTTGTTTACTTAAGCAATGCTTAGAAACAGCTTGTTCCTTGTCACTTTGTCCAAGACTTTCTCATGCCACTCTTCAAAATTCAGAAAACAGCATTAGTTACAGGATTGCAGAAGAGCACGAGAGTGTTCCGTACCTGGGGATTGGAGCCATCAAACCCTTCCTGATAAATGATCCTCTGAATGGACTGAAGCAGCCTTGCGTAAGCACTGTTCATATTACTATTGGCAAGAAGAAATAGTTTAGTAACACATTTTAATACTCTCCTATACATCTCTAACAGCTGTATTATAAATAAATACAAGATGCAGCTTTCAGTCTGAAAGTGTCATATGGAAAAAGGTGTCATATAAGAAAAAACCCAACCATCTTTGAATAAAGTTGACATTATAAGCAGTTGTGATTGCTTCATGTTAACCAGTTCAGTGCTCAGACATTCAGTGAAAGCTAAACCCTCTAGAGATTAAGATAACTTAATTATGTCAGGCTCACATCTAGAAGATTACTGATTTAATGCATCAACTTAAAGTTGAAGCCATTACAGCACAGTACTAACCTTAAATAACCGACACAGAGCTACCCATGTGTTATTCCAAGTATACCTAATCAATGCTCTGATGAACAGAGTTGACTTTCTAATTACTGAAAACTTTAATCAACAAAACTGCTACAACAAACAAAACCAGCACAAGATGAGAGAGACAACATTTTCACAATTAGAAAGTTCATATAGTTAATTGGATTTTTTTAGTATGTTTCCTGGTACCTCACCATAGCATAAGATACACTTGACAATGCTATGGTTGCACTTTGTATCCATACTCTACAGGTATTATTACCTTTTTATTTGCATGACAGCAGAATCATGAGGTAGAATTTATTTTATGTATTATTTAGAAAATATAACCTTTTTTTTAATAAAAAAGCAAACCAGTAGCTAAAAATTTATTTAAGCAGACTTAAACCCAAAAGTTCAGTAAATCATCTCATCAAAGTCTTAGAAGATCCAGTTCCTGCATGTCCAATGCACTTCAGATATCCATCCCAGCCATGCTCTTCAGTCCACAGGCTAACACTTACAAAGGACAGGAAGTCCTCATCTTTACCTTAAATAAGCAAGCCAGTTGTTCACTGTTAGAAGAGACACTGTTTTCTTAAATCCCACGAAGCATACTGGCTTGTGTGTCTGGACTTCATGCAGGTTCCTCACTGGAGCTGGCAGTTTCAGCCCTTCTATCTTTTCTAGCTTCAGCATTTCCTTTTAGCCTCACTAATCACTATAAAGGGTTGCGTATTCAAACTTTCCTGTGTACTTCTTGGGATATATGACAGGTTATTTTGAAAATGTTGCCTCTAAAAATCTTCTTACTTGCTTCAAACATTTTCTGTATCTGGTCTAGTAACAGCCCAGGTTGGAAGGGAGCTTGAAAGATCATCTGGCCCAAACATTAATGAAACTACTCCCATTACTTTAGTAAGAGCCAAAAAACGTTATCCAAATGTATTTTATTAATGAATACCTAAATAAACCCAAATAAACTTGTTTTCATACTTTTCCGTGGGAAAGAAGACAACTTTTCTGAGAAGCACTTAAGAATTGCAAACATCTCTCTTTACACCTTTGCTTTAGAATCAGAATTCTACATTTCTTTCAAGAAAACAGTATCTACCCAAACCCAACTCCTCCAGTGATATATTTAAGTTATAAACATCTACAATCAAAAAAGTCATGAAGTCATAATAATTCCGAGTTTTGAAATACTCAATGTCAGAAAACATTAAGAGATGACCCTTTTCAGGTATAAATAAAAGGGAGAATTTCCAAATTAAACTCTCTTTGTTTTCAGATTTAGCACTCTAGAAGGCTACTGGTTAAACTGATGTACCTTAATAATTTAATACTCTCTATGAAATTCACAGCTGAAAATAACTGGCAATATATAATCTCAACATGACATTTAACATGTAAAGTCCACCTTGCTATATAGAAGAGAGCACCTCAGACAAGAAAGAGTAAATTTTTGCTTATGAAGTCAACTACTTTCCTAGCATTTAGTTGCAAAAGGAACATCTGTTAAATGTTATACCTATGCTGTCTTGCAGGTGTCAGTTTACATGCAGGTGGAGAGGAAGAGGGCTTTAGCCTCCACACTAGCCAAAATGTCTTCTCTCTCCACGACTTCACATTATCGCAACGTACACACAACCCTTGTCGCTTACACAGTGCTGCGATTTCCTCCCAGTTTTGCCAGAGCTGGAGAAAATCTGCAGCACTTCACAATAACCAGAAACATTTGTGTATCCTTTTGGATAGTCTCTTGTACATTTGGAAGAAAGAGAAATTGCTTTGCAACAATCTTGTAGCCATAGCGAGCACCACAGTATGTGTAATACCAAAAGATGACTGTAGTCTTTGCTACCACAAAGTAGCATTTTCAAATTTGTGTATCTATCTCTTATTTTGCTTATAAGTATTACTATGTTACACAGCGAAGTCAGAGAACATACTGCAATTGTGATACTTGCCAATTCCCAATTTGTAACTAACTGCCTCCTAAAAGTGGATAAAAGAATACTTAAATCATTAGCATAATTAGGGAGTTCTAAAATTAAAACAAACAAATAAAAGAGAACTTCATTTAATCCATTAGAAAAAAAATGTAGCAAAGACAGAAATAAAGTAAGTAATGTAATGCAGATAGATTTTGAAAAACATGTAAAAATAGGTGCTTTTCTACTTCTGGCTAAAATACTAATGGTTTACTTCAATTTGAACCATGCTATGTAAATAAGGACATGAAAAATACTGTGAAAACACTATTCATAAACACAAGCTGCATTACCCTTCTGGCAATGTTTGTCATAATGTTTAAGGAAGGAAATAAGATATTTTTTATTTTCTAGTCTTTTTTGGCTTTGTTACTAAACACCATTTAATTCTGATAATGAGTTTAAACAATTCCTTCTTTACTCTTTTTTTGTTTAGCAATTTAGTAATGGATAAAGCAGGAGCTGGCAAGAAGGTATCCCGGTTACAACAGAGCCTCTGACTTCTCTGTTGATGGTTTCTAAGCAGTTAACAAAGGTTAGGTTATCAAGGCTATGACAAATAGCCTTATTATGTATAAGGAGATCCCATTAGGCAAGACAGTTAAAACTGCTTTATCTAATTTATCAGTAAATCTAGACTACAGATAATTTTTTCTTTTTTCAAAAGCACACAGATCCTCAAGTTAAAACTGAAAAGCATTATTGAAAAACTAAATTTTAGTTCCCTTGATTATCAAACTTTCTTTTTTGGTAATTGTGACTGAACAACATGGATAGAAGGAAAGTACAAGGAGTAGAACATAAGCCTTTCTGTGATGCACAGAGTTATCACGGAGGATATTTCTGCCTTCCTGTTAACTACCAGCTTTAGCAATGCAGCAAAAAGGACATCAGAATATCCTAGCAACAACAACCGGAAAACAGCTGCTGTCAGCTGCACAACCTCGTTAACCTGGGCCCAGCATTAGGGCCAGGACACAACTGTCCTTCCCTAGCATGAAAAATAATGAGATGGTCTATGCCTTCTTTTGGCAACAAACACCCAGTCTCTTTTACTACTTCCTTTAGGAACGCAGACTTCCCAATCTGTTTTCAATTAATGTTTATAATAGGGCAATGAACTTCAACCCATCTTGAGTGATTATCCAAAAGGGAACCCTGCAATCTAATTCAACCATCAGGTACCAGAACTGCAGAAAGGAGAGCACATAGAGTACCCTTCATATCCCTCCACCAAAAAGCAGATACATACAAGTATGCAAAAACACAGGAAAGAAAAGAAAGATTGACCCAAACTTCAAGGTGAAGGAATGATGTATATAACCTCCAAACCTGATCTTTAATTGCAAAATAAAAGGCAAGTCAATAATTCTGTCTAATCAGTCAAAGAATCTCATTTCTTTGCAAGCTGATAATGAAGCCAAATGCTTGTGTGGATAGGAAGAGAGGGACATATGTATAGATATACATGATTTCTAAAAAGGGCCAAAAGTTTCTAGCCCAAATAAAGCCTCTACATCTCTGATCCTGCAAGGGAAGCACTGTAATTATCTTGCAATAGACATTAGCTACAATTACAGAGACAATTCACTCACTAAAGAACAGTTTAAGTAAAACAGGTTTTGTAATGTGATGCTAGAGAATTAGAAGCGCCAAGATGATTTGGTTGTTTTTACAAATACATGGTACTTATGCCACAAAACATTACAAGGGACCTTGCTTATTAAAAGATGCAGCATTGTTTTTCCAAAGATTGTAAAATACATGTTTATTATATTCATTGTTTCTGTCAGAAGAGTATAAGCTGTACAGGAAAATGTGGTACATAATTTTTCTTTTATATTTTCTGCTTTAACTACCTTATCTGTTCTTTGCTGTTACATTCCTGAGTGGTCAAAGGAAAGGAGGGCAAAGGATTGTTCTTCTTGTTCCCTACCCCTTGCCAGGGAAAATAAGGCTGGGGAAGAGAACTGTTCCAACTTTCAAGGAGAAAAAGTGAAACTTAAGGCCTCTAAAACTAGTCACCTTCGAACTGAAAATGAAAGGGAAAAGCAAGGCCTGTGACAAGGTGAATTCTAGGTGCATGTAGCAAGTTACAATTAAAGTACAATCTCTTATAAACATTAACTACCTATAAAAGTAGCAGGTCTTTATCAAGAAAACAGAAAAAGAAAACCCAGCCAAAAAGGACAACACTTGAGGAACACCTTGCTCACATCAGTACATATGATAATTTAATTTAGAAAGTGCAATAAAAAAAATATACTGAGCTTCTACAATCTTCCTTTACAAATACTAGCTTGTCACTGCAGAACATATTGATTATGACCTCAATCCAGAATGCGTCTGTTGGGTTAGGCACAGTTTCAACACTCACTGCATAATTTAAATTGCCTCTTCAATGGCTGTAGTTACAGGACTATAACAATTTATTTCAGCCTGAACTTAATCCATTCTGAACTCTGCTACATTACAAATATTTAGAACAGATCATGCTAGCTAAAATAATGTGGAAATATTTTGAGAAGAGGGAAAAGTTTTTCTTTTTTTCCCACAAATTCCTAATTTTTTTTTATTTCTGACACCATAAAGAGGTATCATCTATCAGCAACACCACCATTTACTTACAGAAGATTATACACTAGGTAAAACTATCAGTTTCCACTTCCTTCTCAACCTCTGTATTAGTGACAAAAGCAAAGCATTCTTCAATTTAAAAAAAACCAACAAAACCAACAACCCACATCACTGATTTTGGTCTGCACTTCTACACAATTTAACAGAAAATGTAATTCAGAAATATCTTCACTGATACGTATCTTGCAAAGTATATCCTTTAGAAAGCAATGAAATTTTTTGCAAATATCCCATAATGCCTATTAATGTAAATTGTTTCTATAGTAAACTATCCCCTTTCTTAAAACTGCTTCCTTATTTTTGAAAGATTTGTATAACATCAGCTTTCAGTGTTAACACATTTTTGTCTAACTTCTTGGATAAATTAAATTTTTAAAATCATATTTTTAGATATTTTCTGAATTTCAAGCCATTTTTGTAACAATTTTTTAGTCTCTTCCAGGCTATCAATACTTATTCTGAGGTACTGTCAGCCTAACAGACTACAGAGATTTCACAATGCTATAATCAGCATTATGCGACCAGGTGGCTTTTTGGCTATGCATCTAAGATGATAGTCTGAGAGCCTTATGTTTAAGAAATTACATTCTCCAAGTGGAGCCATGCTAACTAGCCATGTCTACACTGCTAACTTGGTGCAACACAGAGTAAAAGAGCTCCAGGTCTCAGTAGGACCTTCAGGCAACCGAAGATGAGGTCTCATACAGATTGCTGACTTCTGTTGGAAGGGTTAACTGTGACCATAATACAATTTTCTTTCAAATAATTGTTTAGTTAATCAAGAGAACAAAAATTTTTACTATTCTATGATACAGTGAAGTTAGCTTTAAAAGTCAGAAGCATTGTGCTGATTTTCTAAACAGTAATGCCAACAAAATAATATCCTTTCCCTCCCCCTTTTATAAACTTTAATGAAATCATCCTGACAGGACTGAGAGCTTGTTGTCATTCCTTGAGAAAAGAAGGCTTCCTTCAGAATTTCATCACAACATTTGTAAACAATACAGTACGAGCCTGTTGGGTTTCTGTAAAAGCATAAACGTTCTGAAAGCAGTAAAATAATTGGTAACATTCATACTTAGTATTGGATTTAATACACTGTGACTAATGTGTATTAAAGAATCACAGAAGATAGGGATGAAAGGGACCTCAAGAGGTCAGGCAGTCTATCTTCTTGCCTCGAGGCAAGATGAACTACACCTAAACCATCTCTGACAGATATTTACCTAACTTGTCCGTAGAAATTTTCAATGATGGAGATTCTACAATACTCCCAACCGTGTCTGCAAGGCAACTTCTCGTGCTAATCATCAGAAAAATATCTCCTTATTTCCAGTCTGTATTTCTACTGCTACAGTTTACTGCAGCCCATTACTGCTTCTCCTGCCTTCAGCAGACAACAGAGTTACTACCTGCTGTATGTCAGTTTTTAATGTGCTTCAAGGCTCCGTGTATATTTGTCTAAAGAACTTCCATTTTTCCATCACAGGCCATACATCCCATTTCTAGATGTATACTCACGTTCACAATCTTCTCTAATACAGAGTTTTCTTGGAGGATGCTATCTATCTAAAACTGGACAGTCTTTTTATGTCTGAGCAGAACAAGTATCCTGCATGTCTTCCACATTAAATTCCAGTTTATCACTTCCATGCTTTTTAAATTGTGCTTTCTGGTAGCATTAATCACACTACATTGCTAATATATTTTATGTTCAAGATACTTTATAACCTCTGATCTTCTTTTGGAGACCTGCTACACTATTTTATTTCTTCAATTAATTATTCCTACTAGTATGTTTGGCACGTCATCACTGAATTCCCTATAGTTTATTCCAGATCACTGACCTAAATCTTCTTCAATTCTCACTCTGTTATCTAATCTGCAATTATTCCTTCCACTTTTTTCCAAATTTGACGTTATAACTGCAATAAAGACACCCATTGCTCAGGATGCGTATCAAGCCAAATTAGTACTAGATTATTACCAGATCCAACACTGGATTAAAGCCTGGTACTTCACTCAGTTCCACTGTGACTCAATGACAGCTTATTTAGAAGACAAGGATTTAACAGTCAACATGACAACAAAAAAACTCTCAAACCAGTCTATGTTCATCCTTTGACTTGATAACAGACTTCATAACAGACTTGGCGAATATTTCCTGTTTTATTTTAGAGCCTTTTGACTCTGTCTCAGTTGAATACCCATAAGCAAACAAAGGGAGTTTGCTTTACAAAGCTTTACTGGGTGAAACTATCCTAGAAGCTTAAAAATAGATATTATTTTTTATGGTATTCATCTGGTATCAAAGCACTGATGTTATCCCTCAAATGTCGTCTCTCCTTAAAGACAGGCATTGCTTTGGCCGTTTTAACTTTGTGGAACTTTGACAATTCGTTACGTTTTATTGAAGTTCATTAGGTCCCAGCTTGAAAACATTTACATATTTTCTAACCTGGTCTTTCCTTATATAAATCAGGTAGTTCAATTTGCTGGTATTAACTGTGTTACGTGCACATCTATTTGAGGATTGGAGTAATAGGGGAAACATCTTTTCTCCACTTTCATAATTTGTTAAGAACTCCAGTTATACTACAGTGATGGACAGAAGTTGAAATTCTAATTCAGTTTATTTCTTAAATGTGTGTCAAAATTGAATTACTGTAATTATGGAAAACTTATGTTCTCCCTTTCTCTACAGAGAAATAAGCTTTATTTCAAAGGCTGTAATTCTGAAAAATTCTTTTTCCCATCTTGTCTTAACCTTGACCTAGTGCAACCTTTTTAATACAGAGAATCAAAAAACAGTGGTGTTTGTGGTCAGGAAAGACAATAATCAAAGTCAGAAGACAAACAATCTACTGTAAATGAAGAAAGAGACGTACACATCTCTTCACAGTTTCCATAGATTTGTCTGGGAGTTCACTATTCCCAATGTGTCCGTCTCTGTCTGTTATCACTTTGTATTGTGGTCTAAGAAAACAATGCTTAGAAAGGTGGTTGTCTGTTACCTTGTTACCTGCCTTTACACACAACAATATAATTCTTTCATTTCCTCAGGAGAGTCTTCTTGAAGGAGACTCATATTGTAGGTATAGGGAAATGAAAGGAGATAAGCTTTCCAAAATCCATCTTTACTTGATCATGTTCCTCATCTCATCACTGTGCTGTACCAATTTGACAGGCAGATTAACTAAATCTTATCCTTCTGTTAGATTAAAACTAAAAATAAGAATGGAATTCATATGGTAAGAATGATGAACTTTTATCAGGATAGCACACAAGGAAAACACCAGAGTTAAGCAAGGCTTATAAAATCAAATGTATAAAAGTTAAAGTCCAATTCCTGCACTATATGTATGAGTTGATTTGATCTCAATGTATAATGTACAAATACCTGACAACCATATCATTAGTGGAATTAAGTAAAGAGTCATGAGATATTCTAGTCAGCTACAGAAAAGACAAAGGAAGTTAAATTGCCCAATACCAATATAAACAGTAGCAGCTTATCAGATACTCTTGTGTCTGTCCTTTATGGCCCTGCTACTAAAAGAAATAATAATTACATATAATATATATAAAGTTGGTTCAAATATTTCCTATAGAAAGAATAAAATACAAGTTCTTTGCTTTCTTCTGGAAGCATATTTTTTTTTACAACATCACAAGAACATACTTTACAAACCAGTGACGTTTGCTCATGTAACACAGAAACAAACTACAAAGAGACTTGGCTTTTTCTTTTCTACAGCTCTGAGAAAGGCGCTTTGTGCTGCACATTTTTCATAGATCTCAGTTTTTATATTTGAGTGTACTGTAATGAAAATCAATCATAATAAAGCATATCGTACTATTACTTCCAGGGGTTGGCCCTGTACACTGGGATCCATAAAACTAGGTATTATATTAATTAAGTGACTGGGCTGAACAAAGAGATTGGTAGCCTGTATTTGATGTTTGACTTGACTTGAAATGTCTCCAAGAAAGATACAATGGACGTGTGCGCTACAGGTTAATGTGAGTCTTTGCTACTGTCACTCATTTTCTCTTGGTCTTCCTTAATTCATTACTGATAGACATAAACTATAATAAGTTATTCATTCAGAGAAGAGTTTATGATTTTCTCTGGAATTAGGGGTGTTGTGTAAGACATAATTAGTGATTGTAATTCTATTCACAGTATTTTGTATTTTCCTTAGGTGAAGCTGTAGGATGTAAGAAGTAAAAGTCACATAATAAACTAATCTGATATAGCATTCTAAGTTATGTAGGTCATGGGTGGCCTGTCTTCTTAGCCTTAAATACTGTATGGGATATCTTCCTAAGACTGATAGCCACCTGACACACACATCTCCGAAAGCTGATGGGGCATAGTGCTCAGGGAGTAGTTCACAGACAGATAGTAACAGTTTTCTGCAGTCCCCACACTCAGCTGTCAGTAGGGCTGGACTGAACATGCAGCTGTGTCCTAGGCTGTCCTAGTAATGTCTGCCTTAATTGTCCCTGCCAACTCGCTTCCTCCCACAGCTGAGGAGTCAGGATACAGAGCTGTCTCTGTGCCACAGCATCTTTGCTGCCAGCCATGGCGTGCAGCACTGACACGGGAACCACGGCTGAACTGCTTGTGAGCCTTCCATGGCTACAAGATTTTTCACAGCAAGTGTAGATGCAAAAATATTCTTTAGTGCTAATACGCAGCCAATATTTGAACACACAACAGAAGCACATAGTATTACAACTTACCATGTTTTCATTTCAATTGGTAAAGATGATTCTTCAGGAAGGTAAAAACTGTGCCATTTTACGGACTGAAACAGTTCTGGAGACATTGTTTTAGAAACATCGTAATAATGGCCAAACTTTGTAGATGTTGTTGGGCTGGCCTGTGGAAACAACAATGCTAATTACAACAACCTATTAAATTATTATCTGTCAAAAGAAAATAATTAACCAGCAATATACTTCTGTGGTTTTTTTTCCCATTCAGCATAAGTTTCAAGTGGAACAACAATGTAACATTTATTACTAACTTTCAGTTCCCCTGTTGACATCTTATAATGAGAAGTTGTCACACAAAATTCAACATTTATTCTTCCAAGTTGCATCACCAAAGTGCAGTCAGACACTTAAAAGAATGTATTTTTGCATGCTGTAGATGTATGATCACAAATTTCAAAAGGCCAGATGTAGGAAATGTGCCAACCATGATGTGTTCCACATCTTTGATTTTTCAGTATCTGGGAATTACATGGTGGTACAGAAACATTTTCAGCTGACTTTGAAAATGTTTCACTTTGTTTATTTATGATCAGTAAGAATACCATTGCATTTTCATAGATCTGATTTTAATAGAAAATTGTAAAAAGAGGAAATAGTAAAAACCACTTTTATTTTCTTGAATTTCGAATAACCAGCAGTTTGCGCATTACATAGACATTACACACAATAACCACGATTTACTATAATGAAGATACTTTTTTATCAGCTCTCAATTTTGGGTATATAAAACATTATAAGTCCCTCAATTCAAGATACGCCATAGCGGGAATTACACAGTTAGCGTTAACACAAATTAGTTTCTTCCAGAGAAGTAAAACACATGGCACAAATGTAGACTGTTACACAGTATTTTTTAATGTACACACTATACAGGAGTAACAGATTACCACAGCAATATTCAAATTGATCTTTAGGTTATGGCACAAACATGACTGTGTTCCTGATCAGATAATCTCTCGTCAGCTGTTCTAACTCTTTTGAGGAAAGAGAAAGGACATCTAGAATAACCAAACAAGTTTCATAATACAAGTATCAATCAAAACCACAATAATTCTCACTGGTAAGATGCCTGGAGTGAGAAAGCTGTTGGATCCTAGACTTCTAGCAGCAGTTTAGTGCATTTGAACTGTGCATTGCACAACGCAGGAATGTGCAAAAATATTTTAAAACCATTTTTCTATCTCCCAGCTCCAAGACCTACTGCAAAGCTGAATCCCCCATAAGAGCCAAGAGCCACCTCACATATTAAATGATAAAGTATTACAATAAAATGAAATATCTCAACAGCTGTGAAAAAGAACAGGTGAGACAGAAAAGCTAAGAGCCGAAAGGGAAATGTTGCAGACACATTCACACTGCAGGACAAAATGCCTTTTAAAGTTTGCTCTGAAGAGAAGTTTGGATTGGTAGGTAAAATGCAATGCTATTTTGTTTGTACTTAAAAGCATGGAATTACTTTTGAAAAGTGAACAGAAATGGCCCCAATAATTTCAAGTTTCTCAGTAGGTTCTGTAACAACTTGGATATTCTATAAAAGGATTTTCCTTTTTAGCAGAAGAAAAGCACCCTTTAGAGCTAGGTGGTGTGTGCACGCAATGGAAATTCTTTGGAACAACTTCTGCTCCAATTTCAACATCTGTTATTCTTGCTGTACACAGGAATGACAACAGGTGTACTGAATTATTACAGTAACAGGATGCCAATATTTTTTTGTGTGTTGAGCAACTAATTATTTAGTTCCAACTCCAATTATTAGAGAACTTATGGTTTTCATAAACCTTGGCCTTGCTAACAAAATACGTACTGTAAGAGTAAAAAGAAAGAATACAGATGTGCCAGACATGGCCATCTATTTATAGTTAGCTTTTTGAAAGCAATTATGCTATGTATTTCCACAATTCTATTTCATGCTTCAGCTTACCAAAAATATATTAAACTGTTAATAGAATAATTTAATTTAGAGTAAATATTTGGAAATTATTTGATTAATGGATGTTAGGCCTGGTCAGTTATCACAGAATATAAATAGTAACAGTAATACAATATCTTTCTTACAAAAGCAACAGAACAACCAAACTAAACCCAAACTTTTCATTAAAATAAATAATATTTTTTTATTTTTAAAGAACCCACAAAATTGCTCATGTATATCTAGTCATAAGAGTCAGATCAGTTTTACTCAAAACTGACAGAAAAACACATTCTCTAAATCAATGTTCCAATTTATTTATCAGCACCTGATTTTTAAAGAAGTCCAACAAAACATAACAATCTATAAAAATCTAAGTTTTTTAATGTAAAATGTAACTTTATTTAAAATGCGGATTCTGAAAGCAATTTAAACAGGGGCTGTTCTTTGGCCTATAATCTATTCTTTATCCGGATTACAGATCAGAATGTTTTTACTGCAATCTCTGCCAGAGCTCATCTTTTTATTGTGTACTTCCAAGCCCCCTTAATGTTTTAGAAAGGCCTTGACTAACTGAACTTTGATCTGATGTCTTCATTGAGAAAAGCTCCAGGTTGCCCATTTCAGATGCAAATCCTTACTGAGGCCCAATAGAGTTTAGTCAAGACAGCAAAAAAGAAGAAACAAGAAGTTTCCAGGATCCTCTTTGAGAATCCTGAGGCACATTGGTGTCCTTAATCCACCCTGCTGCATGGATTAAGGTAGGTGATAACCTCTCTTGATTCAAAAGAATAAGCACAGTGCCTACAAACTGGGTGGAGACTAGGATTTGGCTATAATAAAACACCATGCAATAAAAGCTCGGTCTATGTCAGAAGCCTATGAATAGGCCTCAATGTACTGCATTCCCAGGCTTAGCAGGGAAGCTTGCAAAAAGCCTACCTGAATCAAGTAAGCATGAATAATCTGCCTTAGCAGAATGACCATGGAGAGTGCAAAGTAGAGACTTGCCATTCCTCTTCAGTTTGATCTGATAAATTTATTAGTGGATTGGAGGCTCAAGCCTGTTCTTTCCTGGATTCCTATTTTGCACATGGAGAAATACACTAAATTGTCAGTGAGCAGAGCGTGCTTTTATGCTACCGTCTGCTGTTAATGTTTCTAATTGCAACACTAATGTGCTAGAAATCTCAGATTTAGGATGAATCAAGGCAGAAAATTGATTTCATGCTGTGACAGTTTATATATTGCCCCAAGAACATAAGCAGTTCATTCAAAAAAAAAACCAACCTGAAAAAACTCTGCAGTGTCTTGCATTGCAAAATAGGCTATCCATATACTCAAAAGTTTAGATGAAATTAACCTCTAATACATATGAAAGCAACAAACTGGCAAAGGCACATCCAGCACAATATGACCTCTTAGACTGACAGATTTCTTTATAAAACATCTGTCTTTTGCTGATGTACAAGGTATGTGCAATATGTAAAGAGAGACTGTGTTTGTTATGAAGAGTACTAATATAAATACCATGCATAAGAACAAAAATTAGTTACTTAGCTAATGTATATGAGGCCTAATAAATGGGAAGGCAAATCTGAACTATTAATGAATATCTCTTTTCTTAGGAATAAGAACCAAATTAGGCATAAAAATACCACAAAGACAGCTTTTACTCAGTATTCTTACTTCATGTAAAGCCAGATGGAAAAGTTTTCTGCTAACATGACTAGAGTTCTAGTTAAAAGCAAACCTATTTTCTCTCCTTCATACTTGAAACTATTTGGCAGTAGTTTTTGAAAATGTACTAGTTTATTTGTTCAATCAGTTTGGAAAATACGTCTTGAAATTTTATTCAATGTTATTTTTTTCTGCCAGAAGAAAATTTAAAGACTAAATCGCAAACGAAGTTGTTAAATGACAGTACTAAGTGTATTAAAAAATCAAAGTGCTGCAAGGCAACATCAGATTTTTCCTCAATGGAGTATATTCACCAATCAAATTAATTTAGCACAGCACCAATATCTTACGATAAATGCATTATAAAATACTGAAAAATATAAATTTTAAAATTATTTGTCACTAGTTAAAATATCCTGAGGAATTTTAGGTATAGTTAGCTTAAGAATTAGATATTTATTTGTGAGTTGTATTTCTTTAAATAAATTTTAAAATTAAATTATCGTACCTCAACTATTCAAAATGATCAGCATCCAAGTCAGAAAGCAGGAATTATAACATGGGAAACACCCCACAAAAGATTGACCATCTTATTCTATCTTGCATAATCAAATTTCAATAACAGAGGACAAGCACATGATGTGTTGCAGAGAAATATTGTGTTAGTGGAAGAAGAGATTACTTCTATGAAGGTACAGAAGATGAGTGCACACCTAACTGGATTATTCGTATGTTTTTCCTGTTTTGTTACAACATGAGAATGCTATTTGTTACCAACATGCAATTGTTTCCATATCAATGTACAAGGAATTCCACTAGATTTTAAAACAGAAATTATTTTGGGGATGGTTCAGAGTGGCACAGCAAGCTCCACAATAATAAAATTGATGAGATTTTACGATTACCCTGGAGGCTGTTTGATTTGGCATGTCACCATATATAAGTCTTTTCTGACACAACTATATAGCCATGTCTGTGCAATTTCACACAAAACCAAACATGCCAAGCCTCGTAAGATCATTTTGTCACATTCCAATTATGTTTTTTAAGAATACGACTGAACTTACTAAGCAGTTATGACTACATCTAAACCAGAATTTCTAAATGTAGACTAAAATGTATAGACAAAACAAGTTTTTTGTTCTGGAGAGTCAAAAATGCTGTAATTTTATTAAAGGTTGATTGTGCCACTGGATTCAACAAGAAAATCACCGGCCACAGGAGATATATTATTCACAAAACATTTACAAGTGTAAACTCTGAAAGATTGACCATTGGGCTTGTTTCTCATATTCTCCCTGCACAGTGCTTAGTTTCTAGTGACAGTGTAGCTGATATAATCTCAAGTGCTTACTTTAGTTGTTACGCACATGGGTAAGCAGGTTAACAGCTTGCTTCACACAGTACTTTCACTACAGAGATCTAGTAAGTACTGTTGATTAAACCTACTTAAGTAATTTGTGTACAACTGAATTTGGGCAAAGTTTGTAAGTGACCAAATTATTCAGACTTTCATAAAAAACTGTCTCAATTTAATAGTATTCACTGAAAAATCCCATGGAACTTTAATGTTTTTTACTTCTAAATTATTATTGTCTGTATTAAGTTTTACAACTACTGCAAACTCTCAAATTCCCTTTCTCTCTGTATCTCTAGTAATAAAAAACCACAGTATTGTATGATAATCTACCCTCAGAAGGCAATCCAGTAACACTATCCAGTAGCAGTTCCGTTGTCTAGATTCTACTGAAAAGCACTTGCTCTGCAAATTCATTTTGACTGCAAGAGGAAAAAAATATGAAGCACTGATTACCTCTATTTTCGGCAAATTTTGGTAGCGCCATGCTATTTTCATAGAATCCTGAAAATCTTCAGACTTAAAACCTGTTGTTTCTTCTGATTTACTTCTGTAGGTATCATCAAGCAAAGGGGTTGGAAGTACCTACAGGTGGAGAGCAAAAGAATGTCAGCTACCCACAGCAGAAATGGCAGTTCAGATTTTTATCTCCAACCACAAATTTTAGCTAACACGGTTATCTTAATATAATGGAGAGTTGTAAAACTTGTAATACAACTTCATTAAAATAACTGTTCTGAAAGACTGACTTCTATTAATATTGTGTGAAAAACCCCATGTAATGATTATGGGAAAAATTAATTATACCAATATAAGAGAATGCAGAACGGAAATATCACATTGTATACTCTACACAAACAACGATCTTGAGCAGCATCCATACTACTTTTTTTTGTTTTACTCTTTCTTTAAAGTTCATCTCCTAAACTATTCTATTTCTGAGAATACATAAGTTCCCTGCATAGTGAAGCCTGTTTTACAATAAGATCACTTTTTTTCATTAACTTCTGTGAATCTTTCAAAAGTATTCAACAGACAGCAATAGCCTACAGACACAAGCTGAAAACAACTGCAACAGGATGGTTTGAATTTTCTCTTCTGCTAACCATTAGGCATGATATCTACTAATGATGGATGTCTCATGAGCACAAACAAAGGAGTAAAAGGAAGGGGCAAATATTTAAACTTTGAATTTTTCTAAGTTTCGAATGCAAACATTTCTGGCTATTTTTAAAACAAAAACAAAACCAAAAACAAAACCACATTGCACCCAGGTGGATTTAACTGTTCTAAGAGGACAGAACTGCAGCTTTGACTTGGACCTAGATTTGGAAAAATGTTTTATTAAAAATTTTCTACTTTCTACCTTTGTAAAAAGTAAACAGCGGTGGGTGGATATCTAGCACATAATTCAAATTTATGAATTGGGTTTCTACACCTACTAGAGGAATGAAGTGCAACCAAATTTTCTGACCCAACTTTATCACTCATCTGTGTAAGCTGGAGGACAAAGGAGCTCTTTATCTGCTTAAGAAAATTTTCAAATACATCTTGATCTAAGTTTTCATTAAGCAAAGACTCTTGACACAGGACTGAGATGTGGTCTCAAGGGTTAAAAATATATAGAGCTAGCCAGTACCTCTGTTACAAGGTATTAGGTATGAAGTTATACAAAAACCCTAATTTAAAAACTTTAGAAGCATCATCTTGATCTAAGTATGGGATACACGTGAAACACTGAATGTAGGCAGAGCTGATTCTGACAATAAACACCTATGTGACATGCATGGTTTTATGTAGGTAGACTTGGTACAAATGGACACATGTAGAAGGAAGACAATGAAAGTTTAAGTGAATCCATTTTGGGTTTAGCATTATACTACTTAAGTATTAAAGAATACAGAAGAGAAAACCTGTACATAGTTCAATATGTCATCTTATGAACATCTTACTTGTTTCTTTAGTGTAATTTAACATAATAGCTACAATTATTGACAAACTTGAGAACAAATGCTTCCAATTTCAGAACAGTTGTTTCTGCCTCTCTCTCAGTGGTTGGTCTGCACAACAAAAGGTAATGGAAGACAAAAGGTAATGGAAGCTATGAAAACTTTTAGGTAGTTACTTCAATAAAGTTGCAGAAATAGAACAACTGCACCTATGTTTTTCAGCAGCTAAACAGAAGATGTAAGCCTCGTCTTTAGGCAAATAGTTTTATTCTATTTACTTTCTGTTTGCAAATGAACTGCAAAACCCTGGTAAAGGCTTTTCATGAGAACAGTTACGTACAGAGTGAAATTTTCAGATTTCTTACAGCTTGTTTAAAAGATACACTTGTATACACTAAACTCATATTACCGTGGTTGTAAAAATTAAGCTTTATGGGTAAGATAGCTGCACTAAGATTATAATTTTAAGTTAGTATTTACAGCCTTAACTAATATTACAGATTTGTAACAGATGTTACGGTAAAAAGAAATTTACTTTTGTCCAAGTTTCCTTATATCTACCTAGAAAGAAAGCTGGGAAACTTTGAAACCACAAAGACTTCTGACGGATAAGAGAAAATGAAAACAGAACGTTATCCTGAAAGGTTCTGAGAAAGTATAAATATAAATATGAGCTGACAAGCACACCAATGCATTTCACATACATGCAGATACAAATTATGTGTATTTACTTCTAAAAGCACTATATAAAAAAGAAGAAAGACATTATTTTGATTTTCTAATTTTATAACTGAGATATCCACAATAAAGAGTTAATTAATCTTATTTTCCAATTAAGGTCATATTTTGCAAACAAATTTCTGAACAGGTAAACTATCATGCAGATTTAATTTCCTAATACATTTATTCACAGATCTATGCTGGCTAAGGTAAAAAAGTATTTTTCAGTGAAGAGCTGCTGATATGTGATCATCTCAAAATATTGCTCAATTAAATAAATTGCTCGATTGAAAAAACAAAATCAGCCCTCATTTAAAAAGTGAGTTCTGTAAAGGAATAATTCTGTAGGCCAAAACAGCATTTCCAGATATCTCTTCCTTTCATTCACTAAGATTAACTGGCTTCCAGTTACTACCGGCAACTTTTTGTAGCTGTGGGTGACCTGTTTTTCTGAAAAAAAGTGCCAGCTACAGTTTGGAAGTCATAATGAAATCCTGCCTAAGGTCAAGACAATAAGGGGTGAGAGGTTTTCCAAGTATTACTGATAAAAGTCCAAGCTACTCCAATACCCTCATGTAACACTGAGAAAAGTTCCTGCCTGGCAGTTCAAATGCAGAACAAGACCTTACAGGGCACACTATGGCAGGGAGACATTACCAATATGATCCTGTGACCCAAGAAGCTCAGTCCAAAAGAGAGACGGGCACACTATCAGTGCAACCCAATTAGGCACTGTGGTATGCCTTAACTGTTGCTAAGAATGAAGCAGATTAAGAAATCAAGGAAAAATGATTTCATCTGAAGTTGATAAAGATTTTGGCTGCCAGAGATGAAAACCTATCTATCTGAAATGCCCTTTTTTTGCCAATACAGTTTACTTTTAACTTCTAACATAATAAAGAGATTTTATTCTGACATAATAAAAAACTTCTAACATTGTAAAATGATGGTTTAAACACGACTAAATTCACACAAAGCAACATGAGAAAACCCATGGCTCAGTACCATGGCAGTCAGCATATGCATCAGCTTAGGTCTGTTTTGTGCTGTCTTGTCCCTTGCTGCCCCACAGAAGGAACCAGAAGCACTTGGAGAACTCTCTCATACCAAGAGCAACGCTTATTTCCTCAGTGGCTTTTCCAAAATGCATGTACCTAATAACTACCACACTTAAGTGAAGAACATGTTTCTTAGATGTACCATGTTCTTGTCCCTATGGAAGAAAAATGTTCACATGATGCACTGAGACTCAAGACATTTCTGGGGCTGCCAGGTATCTCAGCCATATAATTTTCTATCCCAACAAACACTTTGCTCTAATGCAAACATATCCTGAATCATATTCTAGCATGTAGTGGCTATCAACTTTAAAGCCTCTTAGCAGGCGTCAAACATAATTCAGCTGGAAAAGGCAGTCTGCATATGTTGAAAACCAATTGCTTTAGCTCCAGCTGCTATATCAGCTTGGTTAAATACAGTCCAAGATGTTGTACTTAAGCACAAATAGGAAAAAAAATTCCAATCCTATGGAATCCGTGGTCTGAGTATATCTGTAATTGGAACACATTTTAGATGAAGATTAATGAATAGAATGAGTAAAGATTGTCTACCTCCAGATTTGCATCGTAGCTTTATCACTATCACCTCAGCTTCTTCTTACCCTTGTTTTCCTCTCATTTACACTAGAGAGTATGGAAGAGAGAAAAACATGTGGCTGTTGTTCAAAGGTACGTCTACATTCACTAGAAGCCAACATGCAAGTGTTCATTAGCCTGCTAAAAGACTAAATGGAATACATAGGTGATCACTAATGTTGTTTCTCCTTAGGATGCACTGATTCATATATCCCAGCCCATCATTTTCAAAAATCTCTTAACTAGGTCTTTGTGTAAGCACATTTGGAAAGAGAGCGAGCTTAAAAATCATAGTAGACTTGGGACTGGGGAGAATTACAGACACAGAACAGTTATATAAACCTGCATTACAGACAATATTGAAAATACTGAAATTTAAATGATCCAAACGTTTCTTCATATTTTCATATCTTCTTTTTATCTTCATGATAACTAGAAATGGAATAAAAGGCTTTCCCCTCTTCTGACACTGCAAATTAAATGCTATTTTTTGTTTCAAAGAAATAGCTTTTTCCTGACCATGCCCAAGTAAAACAGAGCACATAAGTGAGAAAAAGTCTCCAGTTATCATAACACAGGTATATTCATAAAGATAAAGGCTGGCTAGTTGGATATATACTTCACAACTCTTCAGTGTCATGAAAGGTTTCATTACTGTCCATGAATTACAAAGCACTCATCAGTTCTCAGATTGATCTTAAAAAAGGAAGGAAAAATAAGTGAGTTACAGAAAGGATGAAGCAGCCCCGCAGCCAAAATAACTGCAGAACACAGCCTTCTTCTGGCACAGCCATACAGAAATTGAACTGAAAATTTTACAGCAGAACACATACGGGGAGTTGTGGAGGGCATGGTTTCTGTGAGTGACATTTAATGATAGCTAAACCTGGGCTTTTCCTCAAAATATCTGTGTGAGCGATTCAGGAGCAGGGCTTTAGCACAACTCTCTTTCTCCCAAATTCATTACAAATTGAGAAACAAAGATGCTAGTTTCCAGTTTTATTAAATCATTTTTTATGTTTGGGAACTGTAGTTCTCTAACATATATAAAAAAGCACTTAAATTATACTGAAATTATCAGAATTTAAAAAAATATTTGGGATAGTGAGCCTATTTAGGATTAAACAAATTTATATTCTTAGAATCAGAATTTCAGGAGAATACAAGATTATTAAAATGTTTAAAAGTTACTTCCAAAATTTCACCCAGAATTTGGAAATAAAAGTATTTGTTATTTAAATGAAAGACTAAGAAAAGGACAGTTGATTTATCAGCCCGTAAT